ATATATGACGCTTGGGCAGGTACAGTAAGAGAGAGTAAGGCAAATACACCTGCCGGATCTCTTTTTGGCCGGGAGTATACACAGCCCAGCCAGCACCTTCCCGCAGCTGCGTCCATCCTTCCACTGAGACGGCTGTCCATGTGACGTACCAATTCATGACTTACCACAGGTAAAGTACTAGGTACTTGAGGGGTCTAATCTTCGTCCCTGTCACTAACACAGCAGCCAGAAGGGTGAGTGGTTAAATGAACAAATACCCCTATGAAGCCAGAGTCCTGGTTGACTGAGGGGCGCGCTGGTCAAGTGAATCAAGTCCGGTCAGGGTTGTGAATTATAAAGTAAGTGATCACCAGCCCTGGTTTCTATTCTTATTCTGTTGTACTTTTGATAATCCTCGTCTGAACCTGTACGTGAATTACGACGAGCTAACCTACTGTACCTTAGTATTGGCGGATATGATAAGTCATGCATGGGTATTTGTACTTGCCTAGCCACTGTCTACTGTGTTCCGCTCTCTTGATTGAATCCGTTCACGATCACAGTTCAGCGAAGAACTGGCAGTTATCGCATCTGGAACTCGCTTGTTCCGCCTTTTTGTCTTGAGGACGTCAGCCCACACCGAGATCAATGCCATTGCGACAAGGCCCGATGAACAGACTTACGAGGTTTTCGACCAAATACATTTGAAGGCTTGGGGCACTCCATCCTTCATATTTCGAGAAGATTGCAGCACAATGGTTGTCTAGGTGACCCAAACATATGCCCTGAGACTCTGCAAAATGGCCTCGATGCAGAACAAGAAAAATGGCAGGATCGATAATCATTTGAACCTGATCTTGGAGGCGAGCAGCAGGCTAACAGTTACTAGGATATCACACTTGACTAAAGTCCTCTTCCATTCTCCGACAGATCTCTGATACATTTATCTACAATCATGCCTTGTTCTCATTCAAGGTCATCGTGGCGATTCCCAATCTGTCAGTTGATCGGACTACTCGCCGGATGGAGTTCAATTACCACCAGGCTACCAGCGAACTTCCCACGATCTCTCAGCCTAGGCAAACGGAGGTTCGGAAAGTCAAACCAGGCGGTGAACCAAGGCAGGCGGATGGACGATGGGGGGCATCCGTACCGAGTCCGAACCCCAAGTCGTGGTGGTGCTCGGGCTTGGCGGGGTTCGGGGCTGTTGACCGTCCTTGGACCAACCGGCAAATGGAGCAACTGGGGACGTCACAGCTTGAAATTCCCCGCGGGTTATGGAGCCGTTGCGGGCTATTTGCGGGGGGCGGGGAGGAGCATTAGCTTCAGAGCCTCCAGTAGCTCGACGTAGGCGTTGCAGGCCGTTCCACTTAGCGCTAGGATCACTGCCGGGAGTCGGAAGAGCTACCCCAAAGCTCTCCAAATGGGGCAAATATCGCCGGCCAAAACCCAACAAAAACATGTCCGAACCCAATCGGGGCCTGCTGATTATCATGCAGAGCAACCAAAGCAAGACATTCCGACCGCACGACTCGTCTGATTTATACATCACTGCGGAGAGCTCACCGAGCTCTAGAAAGCTCAATTCATTCAATTGACTGATCATCCCGCTCGACTGCTTCCTACAGTTCTCGTCTCTTCAACTCACGATCTCTCCCTTTCACTCGCGACAGTACCAGGCTCAAACTAATAAACCACTAGCACAACAGAAGTACGGATACAAGCAGTCAAAATGGGCAAGCCAATTGTTCTCCAGCTCGGCGACGACATCAAGTGGAACCATGACCTCTACAAGGAATTCACTTCGAAGTTCGACATCCGCCGGTCATACAGCATGCCGCGCGCCGAGTTCATCCAAGCACTAAAGGACAAGAAGTTTGGCGACTTCTTCGCCATCTACCGCCCCTTCTGGAACACGGGAGGCGAGATGGGCAACTGGGACAAGGAATTGATCTCGCTTCTTCCCTCTTCATGCAAGGTGTACGCCAGCGCCGGCGCCGGTTTTGACTGGGTTGACACAGAGACTCTCGCGAGCCGAGGTTGGTACCCCCACGACACCAGCGCCAAAAGAAGACCATGTTGAGGGTTCTTGACGCCTCAATTGAACCATGAGCCAGAAGCTGACCAGAGTTCTACTACACAGGCATCATCTACTGCAACGCCGCCGCAGCATGCACAGAATCCGTCGCCGACGGCGCAATCTGGCTCATCCTCTCCACCTTCCGCCTCTTCTCCTGGTCCTCCGCCGCCGCCCGCTCAGGCGACCCAGACCAATTCGTCGACGCCAACAAGAACCTCGGCGCCGTCTCGCGCAACCCCAACGGCTTCAGCCTGGGCATCATCGGCTTCGGCAAGATTGGTCGTCGCATCGCCGAAAAGGCCCACAAGTCCTTTGACATGAAGATCCTCTACAACGACGTCGTCCGCATGCCCGCCGATCTCGAAAAGCCTTCCAACGCGACCTACATCAAGGACATGAACGAGCTGCTCGCCACGGCCGACTGCGTGTTGACGGCGACGCCTTTTGCGGGCAAGACGCTCCTGGACGCTGCTGCGATTGCCAAGATGAAGAAGGGCGCCAAGCTCATTAACATTGCGCGTGGAAAGCTCATTGAGGAGGAGCCGCTTGTTGCCGCGCTCAAGAGCGGACACCTCTCGGCTGTTGGCTTGGACGTGCACTACAATGAGCCTCATGTGAACAAGGAGCTAATCAAGATGAGGAACGTCGAGGTTCTGTCGCACAACGCCGGTGCTTCTCTGGATGCCCACATGGGTTTCGAGAGGCTTGGTATGGAGAACATTCTCTCCTTTGCGAGCACCGGCAAGGCCGTCACGCCTGTCAATGCCCATCTGATCAACAAGAGCCGTCTGTAACGAGGATACGAAATTATGAAAATGGGGCCTGGATTGTAGTATAACCACGGAAAACCAAGGAGTTACATATCGGATTAATTGAACAAACTGAAGTTCTGTTTCAAAGTCTTTGGCCCACGGCATCGTGCTTTTGCTCGGTTGTAGATGAACGGTGATGAAGTATCGCTCACATGTCATCGATCGAACTGAAGTGCTGTCCAAGGGTCCTAGCTAGTGATCATGAAAACGAAGTCTAAGATTGAGGAAGAGTCTCGTTTTGTTAACCTACACCAACTATCGAGCTCCAGGAAGATCGTTACCTTATCTTCAAAGCATCACATCAGCATAATCTATCCCTACGCCATATGCTTCTTCATCTCCTCCACAATCGGTCCCTCACCCCACCTCAACTTCGCCAACCACCCCCCATCAATCAACACATCCGTCCCGTTAACATACCGACACCCCACAACAAACCCAACCGCATCCGCAACCTCTTCCGCCGTCGCAGCCCTCTTGAAAGGATGCGCCTTCATCATCTCCCGTATCCCCGCCCCGCTCGACCCCTCCATCTCCGCCGCCAGCATCTTGGTCTCCGTCATCCCCGGCGCAACAAGATTCACCCGCACGCCCTTTCCTGCGTACGCCTCTGAAGCAGCAGCCGCCTGAACGCGTAGACTATTTGCCTTTTTCGCGATGCAGTACGCCGTGGCGCTGACGCCCGCGATAAGCTCATGGAGTTCCTTGTTCTCGAGGAGGGATGTCCGCGGCGCGGTCGCGAGGTGTCGTTCGAGGTCCGGCGAGAGGGGCGGGATCATGTGCTGGCCCATACTTCCCACGCAAACGACCGACGAGCCGTACGGCATCTCGACCTCTTTCCCAAACACTTCAATCACGTTTGCCGTGCCGACAACATCAACAGCGAGAATCATCTCTGCCGATCCCATCGTTGGGCTGAGTGCCGAGGTCAAGACGACCGTCTCGATAGTCCCGCCCAGGGACGAGGCCGTTTTCGCGAGGGAGACGACGGATTCGTAGGATGTCACGTCGACTTGCTGCGCCGTGACTTTGTGGCCTGCTTGTTTAAGGGACTCGGCGCCGGCGGAGATGGTGGACGGGGAGCGGCTCGCGAAGAGGATGTGGTGGCCTGCGCCGAGGCGATGGGCTGTTGCTAAGCCGATCCCGCCGCCGCCGATGATGACCATGATTGGGAGTGCGTCTAATGCCATGGCTATGGTGTTTTAACTAGGTATCGGTATTCTTACTAGACATGAAAACCCGAGATAGCTGTGTAGATCCTCTCCCATGGAAACTTCGTCGATTTGTCGAAGAGTTAGCTCGCGGAGCTATGGCCATTTAAATAGGCCCGCTTCAGGACTCGGAAGCTCGGTCTCGCTTTAAAGGCGAAGTAGGTAAGATGCCCAACTCGTCGAAGTTTGTCTGAAGCTTTTGCCTGGGATATCAGACGAGTTTACCCAGCGGCGCGTCTATTTGCCGAATGAAGACAAGGGAAGCTTCCATTGACCAATAACATCTGGCAATGAGTGTCATCACCACCCAAACTTTAGGTTGAACTCTCAGTGTGTGAGGAGAGATGTATTAAGCACACACCATCCCTCATCTCTCCTTCTTCGCTGTCAGAATCATGTCTTTGGGCTGAGAATCTGCTCTCTTAATGCAACGAGATTGGGGACAAGGTTCTGTAATAAAATAGCGTCTTCAAGCATTTTTAAGCAGAATAAGCTCACTATCCATGCTGGTTGTGAATTTGCCTGGCTTTGCCCAGGCTTCCCGAGGTTAATCGACTTTTCGGATTGGGCCATACGGACTTCTCGACCGTATGTTCGCGGTCAAGCTGGCGTCAACTACACACTAGATATGTAGTATGTACAACGAGAAACGCATTTATGTTTGGAGCGCATCAGGGAATCAAAAGGCTGAGTACGATCAGATCACGCGCACACGACACTGAAAAACTTATTTGCAGGTTGTAGAATTCTTCTACTGTCTGGCTTATCCCGAGTTTGTCTAGCCATCTGTCATGCTGCCAGAACCATCGGAAAAGGTATCTTCATCGCCCATCAATCCTCATTATCATCATTGATCCATCCCTACTGTCGATGCTTCGTATGTCGCCCTTTCTCAGGTTGAATCAGTGTGGTAGTGAATCAGTTCGGGAGCTTGTCTCCAACGCACTGGTCCTGAGTGACAGCACCCATGTCCATGAGTCCCTCGCCAATGCAGCCAGGTCGAATGGTGTCAGGCACATCCGCCTGATACATCCAGACCGGACCCTTCTCCTTGGGCGTGTCATCGGGCTTACCATTGTAATACCAGTCGAACTCCATGTTGGAAACTCCACCCTCTCCAGCACAAGAACGGACCAGCTTGGAGACGTTCTCCCCAAAAGTGCCAATGACACCGTCCTTGAAGTTTGAGCCGCGGATGTAGAGCGCTCTCTTGCCCGGGACCTTCATGTTCCAGAAGTAGCAAGTGTTCCAGACCCAGCCTTGCTGAATGCTGTCGATGACGCTGTGAGCAAGCGCCACGCCGGGGGCTCGGTAGACAGGGTCTTGCTTCTCCATGGGCATGGGGAGACGAGTGCGACAGTCGGTGTAGACGAAGATGATGACGCCGTCAGGGACCAAGTTTCCAGAGAATTGGCCATTCATTTTCTCTCCCTCGATCATCCACATTTGGTTATCGCAGGACTTCCAGTTGACGGGTTGTATGCCTTCGACAGCGCAGGAGTTGAGATCCCAGATTGTAGGTTTTCGGTTGGCAGTGGTCATGCCACCACTAACGGAACATTGATGTTAGTAAAGTAAGTCACTATCTTGTCAGCGTGAGCTTTGGATGCTCTACTTACCAGACAACCTTCTTGACAGGAACAAAGGTGAAGTAGCCACATTCACCCGCCTCTAGTTTGATGTCCCACTTCTTGCCCTTCGCTTGGCCGTAGTTGTGAGACCAACCGCCAGAGACACCAACCTTGAACGCCTTCAGGAATTGAAGCTTGGTGCTTGCACCAACACTCCAGCCTGAACCCACTGACTCAGAATCAGTCATGCCGCATTTGATGGGAGAATGACAGTCGGAACTCGGGAAAGGAACTTCTTGAGCCCACTCGAAAGTGGTTCCTATTTAGGAAAGACAAGTCAGCATGTATTTGAACAAGGCAACTTGAAACTTGAAAACAACAAGGTTCATCAGATCTGAACTCACGAAGCTGACAGAAGGAAGTGCATCCGTCGTTCCACCATCTCGAATCGCCACCAGTGTCCCAGTTCGCACAAGTGTCAAACCTCATCTTGCCTGCCTTGAATGAAAGGAACTTGTTCTTGGGAGGACAGTCCTCGGCCTTGTACTCGTAATAGAGCGTGGCGGGCTTGGTCTTGTCCGAACAGGGCTCGACGGAAGCGGCATTCATATGCTCGCTACTGGCCTTGGTGTTGGCATGGGAAGAGCCGTTGCGATCCTCGGGGCGAATGGCCCAGAGCGGCGGGTTCGCGGGGTCCCAGGTGTAGTTGAGAGGGGCGACGGAGGTGAAGTTACCGATCTCGTTGTTGCGCTTGCCAATGTTGAAAATGTCGTTCTCAAGGAAGCGCTCACGATCCTCGGGGCGCATGGTCCAGGGGGGAGGGTTAGCAGGGTCCCAGTCATACTCGAGCGGGATGACTCGGCCATCCTGAGCAGGGGCGCCGTCAACACCAAGGAGGAAGAGTGAAATGAGCAAGAAGATGCCCATCATGACTCCCTTTCCCTCGGGTGAGGCAGAGGCGAGACTGAAAGCTACCATACTTTCTAGCAGAGCAGAATGGTGAACTTGCGTGAAGGAAGTTGTTGCTTGCGCAAAACGGGGATAGAATATTAGCTGTGAAGATTGTGCAGAGAACAAAGAATTGAGAAAGTTTTTGTTCCGTGAACCAAGGAGAAAGAAATCTCCAGGTTTGAGGTGCCTGGAGAAGAAGGTTGTGTGTTGGAGGGATGTGTAGAGGAAAGAAAAGATTCGTCCTCCAGAAGCTGTGAAATAATGAGATTTGTGGGAAGGGACAATGAGCTAATTCTCAAGCGAGGCGGTCAGTGAGGGTATTCAAGAGGCTCAAAGGTGAAGGAGGCGAATACTCAACGTGATTAAGAGGGAAGGTTCAATGTAGGAAAACTCATTCGCTCTTTCCCCTGCTAACGAGGCCATTACTTGGTTTGATGAAATCACCCAGTCCAGTTGTGACTACACATTATGTTTCAACATCGCTTTCTCAGCAAAATTATTCCAGGTAGCTAGCTATATATGCATGTGTCTATGGATTTAAGGCACGACGTGGAGGTTGTGTGGGTAGTAAGAATGCATGTCACTCCTGGATCTTGACCACAAACGCGTAACCTCATCATTGCGCGGCCACAAGGCACATAACCATATGTGAAATCCTGATTTTCTTTGCTAGGTGCGTTTAATGGCGCCGAGAGACTGCCTCATATAGACGACGTAGCAGGATCCTACGATGTTTCAGTAAGCAGCTAGACACCAAACAATGTACCGGAGACAACATCAATACAGCTCTCAGCCTCTCTCATAGATCTTTCTCGGCTAGCTTACTGTGATGTTCTTGTTCCTACTTGAGCTTGCATCAAATACGGCTCCTGGATGAAGATACCAACACTCTGTGCAGACAGCTTCATGCAAAGCTCTACATCTGGAGTTGCACCAAGTTTGCTCAGCTGTTTGCGTTTGTCCCTTGCATACGAGTGAAGAGCATATGGCCATAGCATTGAAGGAAGATATCTATCCTTGCTTTGTGTTACTCGTGTTACTCTAAAATGATTGTAAAGCTCTCTTGAGATCCTTTGCCTAGCTAATCCGGAACATATTAATCCTCGTTGGAGGGGACAAGGAAACGGACACCGAGAGCACACGCCGAAATTTGTTTTTGTAACCAGACTGTGAAGCATACGTATCATGTTTTTTCCCCCTTTACGCTCTCAGATGTGCGTTTTGCGAGCCCACAATACCTGCCGTGCCTATATACCTTGCTTCAGCTTCGACACATGTTTTCGAGAGGCAGTGGCTGGACCGCACCTTCCAAAAGTGATCCAAACCATGACGAGAACCCCTTCGACCGTATCCCTCCAACCCCAATACACCACAGCCACCAGCCCATATATACTCCCTTCCTTCCATTCCAGTCACCAGCCAGCAAGCGCCCCCTTGGGGGTCAGGTCAAAACTGGCTGGGTGGTGGAGTGGTTGAAGTCCACGAACAGCCTAATCGGTGAAGGCTCAGAGGTCCCGTGTTCGAGTCCCAGCATGAGCACCAGAGATGTAGTCCCCATTCGCCACCGGGGGGGTGAACTCTTTTGACTTTTTGGCTATACTCTTCAAGGGTGCTATGCTTCTATACCCTGCGGCCCAACACGGTTGAGGACTTAAGAGGTAGGAGAGTAGGCACTCTTTCCGCTCAAGTCGACCGTCGTGGTTGTATGTGTTCACCGAGAAAATTTGCCCAGTCTGCAAGCACTGACATTGATGGCAAGTCGGTGCCAAGGATGTTTGCTTGACGTGTTTGTATTTGTGTTTTATATAAGTATTGATGAGCCAACAATGGCCTTGCTCATGTTCAAGGCTACTGAGCCTGTTCTCTCCCATCTACAGTTGACCTCCCATGGTCTACCCATATCATGAGGACGCGGCCTCTCCCAATGCTAATATGTACCCACTCGTCCATTACTTTTACAGAGGTGAAGAACACCCGAGGCATCCAAGCAGAAAGCCTTCCACGTCATGTCATATTCGGCGTTGAAAAAATCCAAAATCATGCTAATCATACGCTCAGAGGAATGCGTTAGGGCGGCCACCGCCACCGCCACCGCCAGGCTGTGACCGATGAGGAGGCGGCGTGGGTGCTTCAGACTCAAAGTCCGTATCACGTCCATCACTTCCTCTCCTAGGCGGCGTTGTGATACCGCGTCCGTATCTCGAGGCCTGCGGTGGGCTCGGGCTCGAGTCCACATGCCTCAACTTGTCGTCATTGAACGAGTCCTCCTCATCATCCTCATCATCATAGCGTTGCAAGGCAGGCATCGAGCGAGAGTCTCCCTTTACAAGACCAAGTCGCTCCTCTTCAGTAGCGTTCTTGACTTGCGGACTAGAGTAACCCCGTGAACCAAGGCCATAGCGGCTGGTTGGTCGAAGCTGCGGATGTTGCTGCTGGTGATCGTCCTCGTGATGCGGTGAATCAGCGTGATGTCTCTTGAAGACGTTGGAGAAGGAGAACTGTCTCTTCGCTGAATGTGGTGGTGGAGTAGGTGCGAGATGCGAGCTGGTGCCGCTAAAGCCACTACCTTGCGACACAGCACGCTGGTCATACACGCCGGCAGCACCAGCATATTCCAAGCCGCCATGTTCACCAGCTGGAAGCCCGTACACATGCTCTCTGCTCTTGCCGTAGTACGGTGCCTGGTCATCGTCTGATTTGATCGTGGAAACGGCGATTTCTGTCAAGGGAACTGGATGCATTGGGCTCTGAACCCTTGGATCCTGAAACTGGGGCTGGTTCGGCGACAGAACACTACGTGCTCGCTCTCGGATGGTACCTGCAATGCTTGAAAGCATACCGGGAGAAGAAGGCCGATCGTGCTCTGCCAGCTCCTCTTCAGTGGGGAAATGAGACATGCCAAGAGGCGGATGGGCCTGGGGAGAAGCGGGAGGAATGACAGTCGGTGTGTGAGGGATACCGGCTTGCGAGAGAGGATAAGGCGATCGTATCGTTCCTCTGGTGCTTCGACTTCCAACCGTCATAGTTCTCCGCCTTCTAATCCCGTCCCATTCGTAAACGGGCTGGCCATCTTCGCTCACAGGCTCCAGCGACTCTCGCATCTTCTCTTCCTGTAATCGCTTGAACTCGGCCTCTTCCATCTTCTGTCTGGCGGAGGAGAAGCGACGCGCGATCGCAGCAGCTCCACGGATAGCGTCTGCCTTGGGCTCGGTCTCGGGTTGTTCTTGTTCGGCGATGGTGTGAATCTGGTTAAGATCTCCGGCAAAGACTGCGGTGTCGGGCACATCCTTGGCTGACTTGGAAAGTTGGAGTAGCACAACACCGGCGCAGATGGTCAAGAAGCCGTTGACCACAGTAATAATAGCAGTGGGAGTGCCCTTGAAACCTCTAAAGAGCACTGCCGAAGTAATGATGGTCGTGCTGGTGAAGTAAACGTAGTATGTTGGTGTGACGAGGGCGGCGTTAAAAAGATTCAATGCTTTCTGTGATTTCAATCAGCCTTGCGTTTCTCAGCCATGTGGAAACAGATGTCTCACGTTCAAGTAAATGATCTCTGTCAGCAAAGTACCAATGACGAAGACCAGCAGAACATAGGTGAACCATTTGTTGAACTGAGCCTCGCCGCCTGCTTGGGCCACGATTGCCGCACCCAAACCCTGCGTTGCTACAACACTCAAACCTCCAACCCAACTGCAGATGGAGATATAGACCAGCATATTCTTGTTGCCCCATCTCGGCCCTGCGTACCACGCGGTAATGGCGCTGCCGACGAGGATGACGCCGGCATAGGACAGGAACCCGGGCTGAATGACATAGCTTTGCATCTGTTGAATGTTGGCAACGGCAGAATTCTCGGGCGCATTCATGACAATGACGACAGAGCCAACAATGCAGAGGAAACATGCGACTTTGCCCACCATACTCAAGCGTTCCTTGAGGAAGATGGCGGATAGAATGGCAGTCAGGACAACGGATAAGGCGCCTAGCGGGGTAACGAGGATGGCGTCGGTGAAGGCATATGCGACGAAGTTGCAGATCTCGCCGAAAATCATCAGGGTCATGCCAGTCCACCACCAGGCGTTCTTGAGGTAGCCATAGCCCTCACCGGGAGCTTCATTGTATTTCTCGTTGGCCTTCAAAAGACCGACTTTCTTGATGACGAAGGAGGTCCCGATAAATGCGCCGGAGGCTACAGCCAAGGAAATACCAATGGCCTTGTATGAGGCAGGTCTCGTGGCAGTATCGCCAGTTGAACCGCCCATCCGTGCGTATATCTCATGCGCCGCCGTCAATATTTCCGCGGATTGCTCCATTGCGGCGGTTGGGTACGCCGGCGACTTGGTCGCCGGGGTGATGTATCAAAGAGAGGGACCCTTGTTATTCGACTTTCGTGATCATTCGCTTAACCTAGTTACGATATGAAAGATCGGGGGTAGACGTGTTGACGAAAATGTTCAGGGCGGTAGGCATAGAAACCCTCAATCGGTAGAAGTAACGTAGAGACTCGACTTGTGTGCTTCGACGTTTCGCGGATTATCAGCTATCGGGAACAGGCGAATGTCAACAACCTTGGCGAAGCTTGGGCGGGTCGGACAGTCGTCTTGTGGACAGGGTAGTGTTCAAGATGACGAGTGCAATAGTAGGATCGGAGAAGAGGAATTTGAGGTCGATAGTGGTGGAGGGGTCGAACAGCAGCTTTTTTCCCCCTTGCGGGATGTGAGAATAGACGTTCGCTGGGAGGCTGTGTCGAGGAATTGGGTCCGAGTAGGATGGAGTCGCCGCAGTGTGCGGAGGTAGCGCAGTGTGCGTACGGATAGTTGGTGGTGTGCTGCTCGTATTGACGGCGGCAGTCTGTCTTCGCCACACCAGCTTGCGTCAGCGCACTTGCATGCAGAGCTGAGCTTAGATGAGATGCGAAGAAGTTGGTTTCGTTTCGTCAAGTTCGTAAAGGGTCGTTAACAGAAGGTATCCGTATCTAGGAAATAGGACTTTGTAGGACGTATGCAGGAAGCAGACGCTAGGTGCGGGACGAACAGCGGATGGGCGTCAGGTCTTGTTCGCCCGGGGATTCGAAGGCGTAGGTAGGTATCTGCAGAGGGGACCAGAGGTTCGTGGGAGAAAGCAGACGAACGGCGGGAGCTTGGCTGATAAGAGAATGCAAAATTGGGGGGGGGGGGGGGGGGGGGGGGGGGAGGGGGAGGGGGGAGGGGGGGGGGGGGGGGGGGGAAGGGGGGGGGGGGGGGGGGTGGGGGGGAGAAGGGGGGGGGGGGGGGGGGGGGGGGGGGGCAGGAAGAGTGCTTGACCCCGGTCAAGAAGCTGAACAAGAAGTGCAGTGCAGCATGAACATGGGAGAAGCAGAAACAAGTGAATTGCGCAGGCTGGGGATATTCAAAATGGGAAAGCGAAGTTGGGATCCAAGAGTCAGGGCCGAGGAGAGAGAGAAAGAAAAAAGAGAAAAGGACCAGGCTGGAACTGGTTGGTTGACTTTGGTGGACTGGGATTTGGGGAGGAAGGAACACGACGGACCAGGAGATGCTGGTGACCTGGTCTAGAACCCCCCCGGTGCCTTCCATGAGTTGAGTCATCTGATTGGATCAGAAGACTCGTGTGGGTGGATAGCAGTGGGGGAAGCTGCGTTTACGTAGTAGCGCTTTCCCGCAGCGCGGGACGCACCCTGTTCTTGGAAAGAGCCACTGGTGGGGCCCAGGGGCTTTGCCTGCCACCTCTTGCGCACCTCTTTGCAGTTCAACTTTCTTACCTTCCACGGAGACCAGTGTCGCGAATGTCTTTCTCTGAATCACACCTTTGAGGGTATCTGGAACAGCTTGTTTGAAGCCGAATCGCACACCAGTGACCTGTGAAAATGGCGGTCCGTCATGGGCTTGTTGGACGGTCAGAGACGTTGCAGTCGGGAGATGCTGCTGTATCATGTACGAGAAAAAGGTAAAATTAAAAACAGAACAACCCGCACACGAATACATGAGGCTAATGAGGTCACAGTTGGCGCCCCATGGCATTCTGATTCGCCTTTCTTCATCGGCCAGACCCTTGATATCGGACTCCGAGAGTGACAGTTGGCCGGTTGTCACTTCAACACCCACTCCTTCCGCCATGTTTCGAATCGTTGCATGGAATTTAGCAAGCAAGACTTCAAAGAGTGTCGATACATCGCGAGCGGGCGGTATATCGTCCATCAGCCTCATTTCGTGCGCATAGACAAGACGGGTGCACGTTGACGACACCCACCGAGCGCATTAAGCAACGACATGCACACCATCTTTGGACCATCCCATCCCATCTCAACACCAGTCCGTCCATTGCGTCTACTGTCTGCGAACACGCACCTTGTTCCGCACCAACACCTCCCACACCACCGCCTTACCAGGCTTCAACCCAGTCGCACCCGAACAGTTCAAGCTGGGAAAAAGTAGGGACTCCAAGCACCCGGCAAGTACAATCCCTATAGTCAAGCCTACCACACCACCTCATAGTAGTGGATAGCGCCGGGAAGAAGCTTAGCGGCTGTCGTACACCGTACCCGTGCTCGATATGGTCGCTGACCGTTGTGTCTTGCTGTTTCGCAAAATTTCTCGAAAACACTCGACGCAATGACCGGACGGAAGCGCCAACGGCAGCCCGTCTTCCACGTCGCCCCGTGTTCTCCTGCAACGCATGTTTTGCGCAAGTCACTCAGCGCTGTCATCTCTTTGGCTCCCGCCCGCAAGCCTATTCGTCTGACACATTGCGGCACACGTCAACCGCTTTCGAGTCTGTCTCCGAGATCAGCCAGCGTGCCAACCTATCCCCATTCGAGACCCAGTGTGCCAGTAATTCCTATTCCAATGCCTGCGCCTATGTGCTGGGAAACCAAGGTCACATCGAAGCGTCCACCATCCTGGCCGGTGATGTCAAGACCAGCCAGGAATGTGGCCCTCTGCAACGGCTGATAGGCCCGTGTCACCCCAACATGCGACAACCACCCTAGATTTGGGTGATTAATGGCCTGGGTCGGTCGCTCTCGCCCTAGCAACGGAATCAAGCTCAATCTCTGTTCAGTCAACAAAATCCGGCACCACGCGACTCGCCTATGTTGACCAGTAGACAACGCAACGCCAAGATTCCAGACAATCAATATCCAGCAGTCTAGACTGGCGGTAGCTCATACAAAGTCATCAGCATTCAGATGCGCCGGAGCAGCGAGCTAGCTCCAGAAGAGCAGCCCACTTTGGCCTACGAACAATGACGGCAGTGTTTGGGGCCAGGTCAGGTCTGGGATGATCGTAGTGCGGCGGTGGTGCTGCGTGCAGCGCTTTTCCATGGCTGAATTGCTTCAGCTACCCAATTGACCCCACCATGCAACATGCCCGCCCGAGGTGAACCCGACCTGATGCTCTGGGGCGCAGGCTGATACGGATAAGGTATGTATCTTCGCTCCGCCTGGCTAGTCAAGCTGACAATCCCTCGCCAGCTATTCATGATTGGCCGCCGGCTGCGCCCCTCCACCTTCTGCTTCCCCTCCAAGTCCAACTCTCCAACGTCCCAAGGGCGACATCCAGTACAGATACAAGCACACAATCAATTCCTTCTCAAGATGCATCGCACGAGTCAAATCCCAGCCGCACGCGCCATGCGTTGGCCAAGCCCACACGGCCGATTCGAGGGACCCTTTCACCTGCGCAAAGTGTATCACATTCTCTGTTCGCCTCCATCACAAGCAATGCCTGATGAATGGGTCTCTTACCGTACAGGCCTCCACTGATAGGTGCTTCGAGATCCTGCCCACTTCGAGGCGACGACCAACGGTGGCAAGGCGCGCACATTTTGCAACGGATACGGACAAGGACGTCCCATTAAGGGCTCACTCACTCCCATTGTGTCCCTGGCATCTCCTTTTCTTTCTTTTTTTTTCTTCTTTTTTTTTTCTTCTTTTTTTTGAATGAGCTCCTACGGACACAAGTTGGATTGGCGATCGCTTCAGTGGCATGCTCCAACTTTGCCAGCTTTGGCACCTAGCGACGGCCTTCAAAAGAAATAGGCAGGCGATTATTCCTGTAAGAGGCATTCAGGCGGTCCGCACTGAGGCCACAACTCAGCTTCGAATCCTGACAAGCCCATCTGTCAAGCTTGTGAGCACTGAGCACTGCCTCGGCGCCATCAACAATCTGAATGATACCCCAAAAATGCATGTCTCCGGGCCTCAGTCAGCGTTGAGGTGGGGACTCTTACGCAGTGCCACGCTGACTTGAAGGATTGCGGGTTTCCTGCATTCCTCCCCGCGCCTTACGCATGCTTGGCTTCGTGTTGCTGGGACCCTTGCTGAGCCGCACCCGCGTTCTTGGCCGAGACATTCAAGTGCTTCGCTCTCCAGAATGCGTCGAGCCACCTATGTGTCGGAGACCTCATCGATGCCTGCTGTCACGCAAACCCGATCCGGCCATTCTTACATGTCAGCATGTCGAAGTCTCGGCCCCGCGTATGGATTTCTCGCCTGGGCATCGAACATCTTGAGGAGTTTGATTACCAACGGATGCCGTTTCGTGCACAGAACGGATCTGCAGAAACGAAGCAACATCCGATCGAGGCTTGTGCGGGGCCCGGGATCGGCCCTCCACGGCTGTTGCCCGCGGTGGGTTTGTCCTCTGGTGCCTCCGATTTTCTTCCGGCATTTCGACCGACCCCAGCAGGACAAGAAACGTTCTTCGCTCTTCTGTATGTTGATACTGGACATCATCGGAAAGATTATTGTCAATTACCATTATAGATATTAAGGTAAGTAGTAATATGTTCAAACATATGGACGCTATACGGTCAAGCATCGTACTCCTAACTCCCATTGCAGAAATTGAGCGGTTGTTCACCCTTTTCACACTGCGACTCTGAAAGTCTTAGCAACGCTAGGAACGCCAGCTTCGTTGACAGCAAACAACATCCAGTAGCCAGGGAGTGCGATACCGGCGTCTCCGGGAACAGTCACCGTGTACTGATTATCATTGGCCTGAGCCTCCAGAGGGCAACGTCTTTGGTCGGTGTTGACCGCGTGTGTCGAAGTGCCCATCCTAATCATCGAGAAGGTGTAGTTCGCCGCCTCATCCATAGTAATGGTGAAGCTGTCGCCGGCCTTGCACTCGGAGATTGAGAGGTCGGAAACGACGGGGCGCTTGGCAAGAGTTTGCCCGTCCTGGAGCCAAGTTAGCATTGTGGTTCACCGTGCAGGCCAACGTTTCTTACAGCTTCAAAGAGATAGGGCGGCGAGAAGAACTGTCCGTCAAAGTGGTTGGCGGTACATCCGTTGCAAAGACCACCACCGCCAGAGAAGATGGTCGCGTCAGGCATAAGAAGGGCTACCGAGTGGTAGTTACGGGGGGTGGTGTGTGACTTGAGCTAGGAGGAAGTCAGCACTGTAGCCTTGCAAGCTTTCGCAATGAACTGACCGTAGTGAACTTCTTGGTAGCAGGATCCCACATTTCGGGGAAAAGTTGCGGGTTGGCGTCCGAGAAGAGTACAGTACGGCTCTGACCACCAACAATGAAGACCTTGCCATCGGGAAGGACGACACCATTGGCGAATCCGCGGTTGTACTTGGCGTTCTCAAGCTTCTCAATCTCAACAGCACCGCCAGCCTCACCGATGGTAAGGACATGGGCGTTGGCGGTCGACGCAACGCCGTCGTAGCGAGGAGCACCTCCTACGGTGAGAATCTTTCCGGCAACAGCGCTGAGAGTTTTGGTCAGCGACCAGACTTGGCGATGGGGGGATGGACAACACTTACTCGTACATGACATTGACACCGCACATGGCATCGCTGTCACTTCCTCGGTTTCCAGCACCCTTGACGCTTCCCGAGTCCCGCGTGGAGTACCAGTTCATCGCCTTGCTAGGGCCGGCCTGGAACACATATCCATCCTTCCACGCGTGAAGCCACGCGTGGCTATCGGCCCGGAAAGAGCCACGAGTATCTTGGGTCAACATGGGCGTCACCGAGCACCCATCGAGCTTCTTCCATTCCTTGCTTACAGTGTCGTAGATTTCACCGTGCTTCCCTTGAGCACCACCGCGGAACGAGCCACCGATGGTGAAGACCTTGTTGTCAGAAGTAAGCGTGCTCGACTGGTATCCACGAGGGATCTTCAGGTCGCCAGTGGCAGCCCAAGAATTAGTTTCTTCATCAAAGATACTCGTCTTGGCGGCAGTGGAGCCTCCGCTAACGATGATGTGGCCATCAGCGTCCATGGAGATACCCGGGCAAAACATATCATGCTGGGTGTTTTCGACTAGGGCCTCAGTGACTTCCTTGCTGGACGGGTTGTAAATCGAGGTATACGTTTTTCCGTTGCCGGGGAAGGTCCAGCGGTTTCTGGTCGTCGTTAGTTCGTCCACCTTGATCAACAAATCAAACTTTCGGCAGTTACGGAAAAGAAAACATAAAACTAACCTCCAACCAGAAGACCACGCCAGCAACTCCCCGGTCTTGGGCAACAAAGCCACGGCAACCGGTACCACCGGGAACTTGACCAGGGCGCTCCATTGTCCGATGCTCTGGGACTGGGAAAAGTCAAGCTGGTACAAGTTGTAATACCCGGCCGCGCCTGTCCCGCCGCCGCAGAATGCGCCCTTGTCGCCCGCGCATGCCGTCTTGCAAAAGCTGCTTCCACTGTTGCCGCGATCGCTCGGCACGTCGCCGCAGAAACAATCCCGCCCGGCGCCGCCGAGACCAAAATACTTGCTTTGGTACAGCCCGCAGTGGTCCTGGCACATTTGCACCGTCATTTGCGCAGAGCGAAGCTTGGGGTACTCGACCAAGGGGTCGCCGCGCGCGGGCATGCGCTGGCACCCAATGTGCTGGGCCTTGGATGGGGACGCCGCGGCCGTCATCATCGTCTCCGGGCCGTAGACGTTGACGTAGTTGACGCCGCCGCAGAAAGCGCCGTCGTCACCGCGGCAAGCGGTGTTGCACTGGCTCAGCGGGGCCACCTGGGTGTTTGCGCGCAGGGCGTTGCCACAGATGCAGTCGGTGCCGCGGGAGAGGCCGTACATTTTGGATTTGAACTGGGAGCAGTACGTGGCGCAGGTCGACGGGCTCATCTTGTCGGAGCGGGTGCCCTGCGAGGTGGAGACGTCAGTGGTGCCGGCCTGGTCTGTTGCAATGAGGGCGGTGCCGCGGGTGCGTTCTTGGTAGCAACCCATGTGGACTTGGCCCGAGGGCGCGGGCTCTTCGGCGGGCATTTGATAGACGTTGAGGGTGTTGTCTGCGTCTTGTGCTGATACGAAGAGGGGGAGGAGAAGTGCCGCGAGGGACACTGCTCTCGGTGGGAGTTGCATTGTGAATGAGTGTAGATGATACTAGGAAATAACGAATGACTTGGTCCTAATGGATGACGAATTAGAAAAAAATGGTCTGAAAAGAAATGGAGCTCCTGCTCAGAGTTGCCAGAGTAGGTAGGATGAGAGTGTGATCAGCCACTACATGGGATGTTTGAACGCTTCATATACAAGTTGGACCTACTTAACACCTAGATAATCACGATATCCTCGCGTCGACCGACCTGAACTACCTTTAGGACTCTAAAACAGAACATTAACCTGATTGGCCGCCCACAAAAACCCACAGCGCTGCCGCCGTCGACGGGCACACACAGACATCAGGCCGTGGTCGACATGGGGCGGTCGTCGGTCGAGCACCACCTCATCCCCCGTTCCCTGCTTACTACTTTAGGATAGACTGTAAGAGTGACGGTTCTACCATAAGCAAAATCATGAGCGAGTGCCCCAGAGCTGGTGTCCCACGTTGGGGACGGCGAAACTACTTGGCTTTGCTCAGGCAGGCCAGTTTTGGCGTAGTAGAGACGCTGACGATGGTTGATTTGGGTTTAGGTCGCCTGCCAAGAGTTGAAGTGTCATAGCGGGGTCTGGCCTTACTATCCAGTCGAGTTAGACTGACCTTGAGTTTTGAGGAGACAGAAGTTTTGTGGCTGGACTACAATTATTCTTGTCAAGGCTATTTTGGTTTGCCGATGGGAAAATAGAGAAGCGTCTTTGGCGGGACCCTTATTGGGATGCTTCAGTTCCATTGAGGTCAGATGAGGAACTGGTGTGGATTGAAGCTGGAGGAGACAGAGGAATCATCTTCACGGCATCAGGCCAGCCAATGTTCATTGGTAATCTGTAATAAAGAAGGTTTCTGAGTGCATAAGTCATCACAATTGCAGAGCAGAAACTCTCTTGCGGAAATTCATTTAAGCTTACCTTATCCCACCAAGAACGTGGCCGGTCGCATTTCCGACTCATTAATACAAAATTGCAGACCCAACTAACCCAAATTAAGTCTAAAAAGAAGGTTGCGACCAGCCAAAGCTGATCACTTCTACCGTGTCTCAGGTCGCTCACTTAGCAAGCTTAGCAGACTTAGCCTCCTAGGCGACCCTTCCTCTCACGGCCCTCTTAATTTCCTGGTTTGTTGGTGGCACTGGCTCTAGAACGATCTGGGGAAGGAAGTCTCGACTTTAGGGAGGTAAATGATCCTCGTTCTTTTCCGTGATGCATCATGTCTATGATCAAGGTTTTCTCCGAATTCATCTAATGTGCTTGAGTTTGTTAGGTCTGACGATCGGAGTGAATGTGTACATGCAGTTTAGGACGGTTCGTCTGTTGGGGGTTGCATGTCTGAGCGGGCCCAGCGGGTTGAAGGTAACTTTCCGCTGAGCTCTTGACCGTGTGTCGACCAGAAAACACGAGAGAGGACGTCCACCATCCTCAAGACTTTTTGATGGGAGTCGGCATTCTTTTCTTGATTGTGAAAGTCCTCATGCATTTCTGGGTCGACTCTGTATTAGTCAATCGTTTCGACATCCCACTTCGCGACGCCCACCTCCCTGAACATGACGCGTTAAGGAGGTGGGAGCCGTGATGCGCCACAAGTAGTCCACTACGTCACTAGCAGTCCATGTAGCATACCTACTCCAGAGGATCAAAATAGTTCATCGTGCATGCGTGATATTGACGGGTGCATTTCATGGCCATCTCTTCGTAAGCATTCTTCTCCCTTAATATCAAGATGCCTGACCCGCCCCTTCGAAGATGACGGCTTCCACGACTTCGGGCTCGACGATTCATGTTTGTTCTGAACGTAATCGACGCGGTCAAACCAAACTCGTGCCCGGTGAGGCATAATAACCAAGTAACAATCTCGGTAGATAGCGCGCAGAGCCAATCCAGCCATGCTCGTTCTCAATTCATCAAGTTTCAAGGGTTCTTTTAGGCTTACAATTGCTCTCTCGTCCCGATTCCTAGTTCTCCAAGGTCTAGAACCTCTGTGTTGAAAAATACAGTATTTAGTAATTACTTCTTCCGCAAGCTCGGGCAAAGTCCGAAGTTCCAGAAGACTTGCAGTTCATTACATCGAAACCCGATATGGTGGTCGCCGAGAACTTGCCTAAACGGGTAAAGATGGAGATATTCCGCGATTCTACGCGTATGCCGGTGCACAGCCGCCGCGGAAAGGAGGCGAAGATCCTTAATACACGTTATAAAACCAACATGCTAAAGAGCTCAGCCCTAAATTGAGTACCAGCTCTACACCAATACCCATCATTCTGTCTTACGACCAATAGTATGTACGAGTGCAAGCTAGATATTCAGCGGGTAGTCCGTAGCCAAGACCTCGGCATCCGTGGCGACTGCGGTCGCTATGCTCCTCTTTAGAGCCTCAACTCCACAAACTCTCCCACTTCCCGGCTGACAACGTAGATGTGGACGTCAGCAGCGCAAGGGGCCGTTCCAATCAAAGCCTTTGCAACGTAAGCCATTAAGGAGAACTTGATTAGCGGATGTCTACAGAACCCCGAGCAATGCTAAAAGTGGTGATGGACAATAGAATATGGAAATAATCGAGCGAAGGCATTGTCGTATAAGAGATGATGGAATCCTCGGAAGAAGATGCTGAGTTTAGGACCTCACCCTCATCGCACAGTCTAGACACGACTTGACTCTCATTCATCAGAACCCTCGCTTTACTATACTCATCTTCAACATGCTGTTCACCGACTTGTTCCTCTTTGCCTTGGCCGCAGGGACCACCCTCGCTCACCCAGAGAAGCTCACTGCCGAACAGGCAAAGCATGAAGCAAAACTCATTGGCCGAAGCACCGACAAGTGCGCCGCGGCGATTGAGAAGCGCAAGGCAGAAATGTTTGCGAAGCGAGCGGCTCGTCTGCAAACCCGCCGAATTCAAAACGGCCATGTCGATACCCGAGACCTGATGTCCCGGAACTCGCTGCAGTACACCACCATCCAGAACGACACTTGCGTCCTGGCCCCTGACACCGTCTGGGGACCCTATGGGTTAGTCAACTACGACGGGTTCGATTTTGAGGTTGATGCGGGGACTGACTTTGCGACAGCGTCGATGGAGAAATTCATCGTCACGATCTGCGTGAGACGCAGGGAGGTATCGACTTCTATCTCGACATGGGCGTGATCGACATCGAGACATGCGAACCCCTCGTCGGCACAGCCCTCACGATTTGGAACTGCAACGCAACCGGCTCGTACTCCTCTTTCACCGGAATCGACCCCAACACCGCAGAGCTCCTGGACAACTGGTCTAAAAGGACGGACGGCACCACCGACGACGAGACGTTCCTGCGCGGGATCCAGACGACCGACCAGAACGGTGTCGTGGAGTTCCTCACGAAATTCCCCGGATACTACATCACCAGAACGACTCATATTCACGTCACTGCCCAGACCAACATTGTGAACGGCACGTCCTACTCCGCGAGCAAGGTGCAGCACATCGGGCAGCTTTTCTTTGAGGAGGACCTCCTGAGCCAAGTGTATGCTGTCAGCCCGTACAGTGAGCACCTTACGACGTTGAACCGTACTACCAACGAGGAGGACTCGCTGTACTCTGATGCCAGCGCCGACGGGTACAGTGCTGTCATCAGCGTCAGCCAGTTGACTGACAACATTGAGGATGGTCTCGTTGGATATGTGAGTGGATGACTTGCCAAATGAAAGTGAAGTCCAAAAATGTGCTAATGTGAAGTGATAGATTACGATTGGTGTCAACTCGACTGCCGATGGACTGGCCATCACTGGAGGTGGTGTCAACCCTCAAGGATACCTTCCTACTGTCAGTGTGGATGACGCGAAGTTGGCCCAGGCAACCGCAGTCGATAGGGCTGATGGCTACACGTCTTAGACATGTTCTAGATTGATCATGTCGTTCAATGTTACATCTGCTGGAACCACTTGTAGATGCACAGAAGCTGCTTTAAGTTTAGAAACATAGATACCCAAGCACATATAAAGAGATTCAGGTTGGCACTTTTACGCATTGTCCATCTAGTTGTGAACGATCACGCAGAATTCGAGGTCTACAATATTCAATCCCGTGAGTTAATTCACCGCACGAGATATTCCTGCCGCAAGACAATGATCCTTCGAGGCGTGGCCTCGCTACCATAGATGGAATATTTGAAGAGACTTAGTTCTGAGTTACACAGACCTCTATCGATTTTGAGCAATGGGGTATGGTCGCTATACATCTCGGAGCAATACTCGACCACAGGTTTTTGGCTACAACATCGCTTCTCCCCAACTGTAGCTGGACTTTTAGGCTTTGATATAGGACTATGACCTCAATCATATCGAAGCACGAGATTATGGGGCAAACTGCCGGCAGATATTTGCAGGCAGGAGTGGGATTAAGCTATCTAATAGCTATCTTCTTCGCCATTGTTCGCAACGTCTCAGTAGATCACGTTACATTGAAGATGCATTAGACGCTATCGGATCTCGTCCGATGGCCTCACTTGACAAGCTATCTTCGCGTTGCAAAGGTCGTTCCAACAGCAGGTGATGAAGAAAAGATATCTAACCGCAGAGCTACAGCAAGACTATCCCATGCGCCAAGGGCGGGAGACCGGGCGTACTGCCTCGAAAGTCAGAACTGCCCGCGCTACCACGTCTTCAAGGTTATGTTCTCAGTGGCTGCATATGTCTGCGATGCGATCTTATCAAACCTGAGGAGGAGGTGTCGGGTCTCCTCCGCTTCCACTGGTCGATCTCGACATACCCCACCTGCATTGCGCCTTGATAACACGATCAGATAATGCAGGCCTCGCATGCAGCATCAACATCTTTCATCCATTCCTCTTATTCCCGATGCCGGTCGGTAGAATCACTAGGGTGTATTAGCCGACGCTAGACCACCTGCAACCAACATCACCTCCAACGTCTGCTGGGATTAGTTTGTACCCTTGTGGCAAGTAGCATGCTCAAGGGAATCACTGGTCTAGAAGGTACCGTTTCGAGTTTTG